AGATCAACCCACAAATCCACAGATGTTTCTGTGTGCGCTTCAAAGGAATGTGGAACTTGCTAAAATGGGAAGACCATAGCATGTGGCAACCAACAACAGCATGGTCTTTGAATCTGATTCCTTTTCCCTGCAGACTGGATTCCCTCCAGAAGTGCCTGTTATCCTCATTAGGACAGAATTACCACTTCTTCCATGGCCAACCAGCCACACACACTGGATCTCCTTTTGGATGTCAAACACAGGAGAAAAGCAGGGGTAGCTTTAGATGATATATTTACTTCTTGTCAAGGCTGGGGGATATTGCTTTTAAAAGAGCAGAACTCTTTGCTGATACAGCCAAAGTCTCCAGGAATTGTCAAGGTAGACACTTTAAAAAACTGCATGTCTTCTGACAACAAAAAACAGAAGCTTTCTGTGGGAACACGGCAGTCAAAAAGTCTATTCAGCCCTTACTTTGGGGACAGCATTAAGGGCAGGTCAAGGATAATGAGCTGTGATTGTAAGAGTCGTGTGTAAGAGAAAGAGGTGGCAATGTGTCATTTCAATCAGGGGAGAGTGAGTGGGAAGGGTATTTGTCCTGTGTCCTCTCAGGAAGAAATCTGTTTCCTCCTGCAGCACTGTCATCGCCTCACACCAGTTATTGGTCTGAACTGGCAGGTTCTGCTCTTCTTTCTGGACCTCTAGAGAGGGGTAAGAGCCCACTGTAGCTTTTGTGCTGTCAGCAGACTGGGCATTGCAATGTGGTGAAATAAAAGCCATCAGCAATTAAGCAGAATATTCACGACAGTGATTGAAGATGACTTTATTTCTTGCTGCCTTTGTTTAAAGAATGTCCTTTCCATACACTCATAATGTATACGACAAATGACTCCATAGCTGTGGGGGAAATACATAATGCTCTCCAATCCAAGGTTGACCACCAAATGATTAAAGCAGTGTTGTTTAAGGTTATTCCCAGGAAGGATTTGCTAGCTTCTTTGGGCAATTTTACCAACTTATGTTATATCTGCAACTGAAAAACTTTTTAACCTCATATCTGAACTCATGTGTGTCTGCATATGTAAACATATCTATGTATAAGTAATTTAAAATGTTAATTTTATTTTAATGTCTTTCTGACAAAGAAATTACTATGGAAACAGGCAGGAGCAAAGGTAAGTGAGCACACATTTGTTTTAGCATGAGCAACCCATTCTCTTTCATTGCAAAAATTTGAAGCTTTTGGCTAAATAAATTTTGAGAAAGGTTAGGGTATTTCTATTTTTTTTTTCCCCTGGGAAGGAAGGAAGCACCAACAGGTGTGATCTGTCAGTGGAAATAAAAAAACAAACAAACCAGACAAAAACCTAATCAAAACCCTCCCTAATGCAACAGGTTGGAAGACATTGATCTCAATAGAAAAGAGACCGTCACTGGTTGAAATCTCTCCCAGGAATGTTCTCCCGTGGATTTTGTAAAGGATTAATTTGAATAGAAATTTTTAAGAAATTATCTGACAATCTGAAAATTTAGCTTTTTCAAACAGCTTTCCAGGACTGCTAGCCTGTTTGAGGTATATGCTCTCCTTTAAAATAAAATTCCAGTTATTTTAAAACAGAGCAGAACTAAAAGCACTACAGACAATCAACAGATCTGATTACAAATTTAATGGCCCGATTCACCCTTGCTCTCCTTCAATTTTGGAGCAGTGTGAATCCAGTGCTTTTTATGTTCTCACCCCAGACACAATCTGGACTAGCACAGCAAGAAACAAGTTTCTGGGAGCTTAAGCTTGTTCCGCTTTATTTGGGTTTTTTTTTCTGTTTTTTGTTGTTTTTTTTTGAGAGCAGCTGTCTTTGAGATTTGTGATCTTTTCTAAAAGCATGACCATAGTGATCATAAGGGCTTGGTGAATTTATTAACTCTACTTGATTAAATCCTCCTTTGACTCCATTTTGAAAGAATTAGTTCCGGAACACAGATTTAGATCTCCTGTACTATGTATTTGCCAGATGCATGGTGAACTTTATAAGCACTTCTATTGCTTTGGACTCCAAAAAATAATATCAGAATATGTAGTGTAAACCATGAAACCCAGAAGTTAAAGATCATTAATATTTCATGGTCCAGGCCCTGAATTCTGGAAATGGATGATCCAATGGTACCTACCTTCCCTTGCAGTCCAGGAATAAATGTGTGACCCTGGCTTGACAGGTGGTATTTTGAGGGATCCAAAAGTGGTTATGTGTTATACCTGAACAGTGTTTTCCTTACTAAAAAACCTTTGATGAAGTAGGTTGTATTTTAATCACAGCATCAGATATTTCTGAAAAGCGATGAAGCTTATTAGATCTCCAATGCAATGACATCTAAAGGCTGAACGTTTAGCTCAGGAAAAAAAACAACCTGAACTTCTAAATTGTGGAAATTATATTTTCATCATCTACTTAGCTATTAGCAATGATTATATTATTTCTTTTGTTTAAATATAACCAAAAATATCCTCTCCTTCTCTCTCCTTTTATGAGTTGTTTTTTCTTTTTTCCCACAGAAATCATTAAGTTAATCCTTGATAATCCAAGAAAAAAAAAAAAAATTAGAGGCAGTAGTTCAAGCTCTTCTGTGTGTGTTCAGCAAAATGTGATACAACTCCACCTTTAAAACTCTTGGGTTTCTATCCAAATTCTAATAAATACTATATGATGTATAAACTCATAAATGTTCACAGCACACAAATGGGCTGCCTCTGGAAATTACATGGCTTGAGCACAGCGTGATTAGATGTAAAGGAAAGGAAAGAATTTGTTATGACATTTCAAAGCTTCTTATAGCACAGTACCTTCAACTACACTTGCCAGCCTGTTACCACAGGGCTGCAGATTGTTGTTTAAAAGGCTTATAAAGGTTTTTCTTTCCTAAAAAGAATGATGAAATTAAACATTGTCATTTAAAAATCTTTTTAAAACAGGGTTCTTATCTTCTCCCATTCAGTAGCAGCTCCTGATTTAGGGAAGTGAAGAGAATGTGCATGATTAGCTAATGTCATATGATATCCTGAATGACACCATGTAGTGATTAAGACACTTGGATTTTTCTCAACTTATACTTTAGTGCTATATAGAGGTGTTAAAATGACCACTCTGGAAGCTGAAGTCTCCTCTTTGCTCAGCAGTGGACAGAAGACAGGATAATCCTGTCTTGGCTTCATTCAGGTTGGTTTCAGCTGCTGTTTGTTTTCCAATCAACCAAAGCTTGCAGCAAGGATTTCTCAGGACAATTTAAAAATTAGATTAAAAATGGAAGACCCCTGGTATCTTTTATGTAGGAATGCATTGTCAGTAGATTTTCTTTCTTGAATTCATGGTAATTCGTGGTAATTCATAATAATTCATGGTAATTCATAGTGAAAAATTACATTTTTTTACTTTCATAATTTCATGAATTTGTAGGAATCTAGAGACAGAGACTCATTTTCTAATAATCTTTAAATTTAACTTCATTGTTTACCTGCTTTCTAGCTAGCAATGCACCTTATAACATGCAAAGACTTGCAGACTGGTTTTGCTGTGAAAGTGTATTTGAGAAGAGACTGAGAACTGTTTCCACAAGTGAAAAAACTGATTTACACTTAAACAAACCGTTTCTTCAGAAAGGAAGTTTACCTAGGGTAAATGCTGAGTGGGAATGTTCTTTGAAAGGATGTTAATTGTACCTTGCTTCAAAGAACTCCTTGAAATTCCTGTAATGCAATTATGCTAAGTTAGAGGAAGTTAAAGGATTGTGTATTGGCAAAAATGCAGTTAAAATCCCAGTTGAAGTCATGTGTCAGAAGTGCTATTGATGATAACATTGACACCTGCCTCAGATAACTTCAAAGCCTCTGCTCTCTGTATGAACCTAAGTTCACTGAGCTCAGCTCGCAAAAGGACAAACCCAGACAGAGAAACTGGTCCAGACCTCCAAGAAGTGCAAATGGAGCTGTGCCACTTAACAACAGCACATCAAACCCCAGCTCAGCACCTTTTAACACAGAGGATACAATGGTGCGCTCTGCCAAATGAAACCCAACATCTGTAGACCTACAGCTGCTCATCACAGACAGAAAGGGATCTCTGTGACTATCTGCTTTCTCCATGCTGGTGGGAAAAATGAGATTGCTCTGTGTGAGTTTCTGAGGAAAGACAGAGCCTAAAAGACATGTTCCACATTGGATTCTGAAAGCACTGAGGTTCTAAGGTTTCTGATTCTTCTGGGCGTGAGTTCCACCTTTGTAGGGGGCCATCTTCAGACAGAATGATGGCAGGGTTTTTTTTCTGCTCCACAAAGTACTTCAGAAATAATAAAGTCTGAACTGATGAATGCACCCAGAACTTAACTTTGGCAGTAAAACTCATTGCTCTGTGTATCACCCAGGCTTTTGTAAACTGCTGTTTAGCAAAAATATTTGTGCATTTTGAGTCTGCCTTGAAAATTTCTCTGCTTTCAAACATAAATATCATATTTTATTAACTGCTGCTCTGTTTGCCCAGTTCTGTGGAATAACAAGCTAGAGATGAGAAGCTCTAAGATCACACACCCTGTTGGGATTTGGCTGTTTTGTTTATGTATTTGAAATAAGAGTGGCTTAGCAGAAGTCCAAACAATAGAAATATTAATAAATACATTATAAATACATTATAAACATTTTTAGGTTAATAATCCCTTTTTAAGGGATTTCAGATTTTAAAAATAAGGTGGGAAAGGGCTAGATTTTTCTGCCCAAAGCACTTCTAATTATTTGGTTCAATGTCTGCTCTGTCACAGAGGCTCTGGTCCTTTGGTTTCCCCCTCTGCACACAAATTGAAACATTCAGTAGTTTCCACCTCAGTCACGACCATATTTTCCTTTTTTTGAGGAAATCAGGAATAGGAAAATTGCAGAGCAGTCTGGGTCTTCCCCAATTTGGAGTTCCCCTGCAGATGAGGAACATAACAAGATCTGGGACTACAGAGCTCTTCTAGCTTCTTTAGCAGAGATACATCTATCCCAGACCCTCAAATGTTAAGGGACCCAAATCTTCACTCTCTAAATTCAGTCTCTTATTGCTACTCTCCTCAGCACTGAGTTCTGTCCATAACACAACTTAAAGAGTAAGAGTCATGGACTTCATGTGAGGAAATAATGGAGGATTTCAGAATTTAGAATTTTGCAAGTGAAAATACTCCTCCCTGGTCATATGGTCTTGCTGTGTACACACACCAGAGGTGCTTCTGATCTGTTATTCAAATGAATTCTCAATGAAAAAATATGCATGTGTAGCGAAGAGGAGAAAAAATACCATAAATGCTCCTATACTGGAACAGAAAAATATGGAGTCATAGAATGATGACAAAAATAGATTAATTTTTTTATGTAGTGCACTGCGGTTAATCCTTGTGCTCACAGTATACTTTATTTAGAACCACTGCAGAATTCGTCCTCTGATTTTTCTCCCTGAAATTAGACTGTAGTGATATGCTTCAGACTTCAGAGGAGCCTAAAGGTATTTGATTTAATTTATATCTATGAGTTTTGTGCCTTGTTCATTTATTTTAATCACTGTTGGTTTTCTCTCCCTTTGACTATCCTAGATTTTTGTTCTGATACATCATTGGTTATTCTGATATAAACAGTTCTCCACTGAATTCAGGTTTCCAAAATTTCAAAGTATAACAATCTCATTTGAGAATGAGTATCATTAAAAGGAGCTGTGTGATTATGCTATCTCAGAAGCGGGATGTACAGTTATAATGTTTCTATAAGGTTTATGGTGGTAATCCTCATGCTAGCACCTGAGTTTTTAATGAGATTTTGAACTTAGTATTTTTAGATACAATTATTATTATAAAGAATATGTAAATATTTGTAAGTATTACAATGTGTTAGGATGCTGGGGGTATTTTGTTAAATATTCAAATGCGTTATTTCATAATGTATTTAAACTTAAATATTTCACTGTTGTATGAAAAAATGTTTGGATATTATATCTTAAAAAAATAAAGTGGTTCATGCCAATTGCAAGAAAAAATAGACTAGCATATTCCACAATTTGAAGCTGACATCCATTTGTATTTACTTACTCAGTTATCACTTTTCAGCATGCAATTACATTAATATTTTTAGATGTTGGATGGGTTGACATTTTGTTCCAACCCTAGACAGCCAACTATGCCTTCAGATGGGTCTCTGCCAGCTAAAAATACAGTCCTAGATAAGAACATACAACCTCCACATTAATATTAGTGACACCCAGAAACAGATTGCTGAGCCGAAAAAATTAACTCCAAAGGATTCAGTGGCTTGTCCATTACTGCGTTAGGTCCTAGCCTGAATATATGCAAGAGTAGAAAGCTGAGCAGCCTGCATGTCTGAGGGTTAATGGCTACTTTCACTGGAGAAATGTGGTCTGGCACAATGCTGCAGCTCCTAGCAATTTAGGAGCATAGCATACAGGGGAGAAAGGAGTGTCTGGGTCATGGAAACAGATCCTCACACAATGGTGCTTTCCACAGACACTGCCATAAAACAATATCTTTAGTTACTGTTTACAACTGTTGGTTTCCTTGAAGCTTACACTATCAGAAGGCTACTCCAGACTGTGACTTGTACAAAGTGAGTAAACTTTTAATTTAAAAATTAATTTATCATCAGTGAGTCACAGTCTTGTCTTAAATTCTGTGCTGGTATGTCTAGCATGGCAATGCAAGTTGATTTACCTCTTCACAAAGAAACAGAGTAGAGGCTTCCCTAGCAGATGGACAAAAAACTGAATCTTGCAAGAACAGAGTGAATACATAAACTGCTGGTCACCTGTGGACAATCTCTGTAATCTAAGTTTTGAATCTCACTCTGCATGAGATGAATCAGTTTTTTGATGACAAATAAAAGCCTTTTCTGCATTGGTGGGATTTATGATTTCCTTTTCAATAAGTAGAGGGACATTTTATTCTTTTGCACACCAAACTCTTAACATTAGACAGCGTTCTAGATGCCTTACTAATTGAGAATTCAAAGACTGTAGGGGACATGGCTGTCTTGCAGAAAGGAGACTTAGAAAAAGAAAGGTTAAGATTTTAAGTATTTTTCTCCCTGTTTTTCTCTTTATGTTACATTTGCATGTTCCACTCACATAAGTCATAAAATTGCAGGAGTATATTTTAGCCACAACAGACAGTTTGTTTTAGGGTTTTCCATCTCCCTGTGTCTCTGCTTAAACCATCTATCCTGACATAGGTGAACCTGTATTTGTTGTGCCAATACTGGTGAACCAGTCTTGCCCGTATTTTTGTACTCTGCACACAGAGAGTAACGTCCTGTGGGCAGAAGATGCTTTTGGGAATGCTTTAGCCCTGGCAGTCAAAGGTTTCACCAACATTGCTTCACTGAGGACAGAAAATTCAACAGTAGCTGAATTGCAGAGTTCCCAGTAGACCATTTTATTCTGAGTCTAGGGTGTGAGAACTTTTGCTTTTAAATCACTGTGCTATGTAGTTAGAGCAAAAGATGTTATAAAAGCAGCATTTACTTATCTGGATTCCTTGAATTTCTCTTCCACTCTTTATAATGGGCTAATCTGGTGCTCAGAAAAATGTGAAAAAGCCTTTTAGAGAAAGCAGTAGAAAGATATTTTATGTTCCTTTACTGATTACTTTTCCTTGATGCTAGGAAACAATTATTTTAAGTGGATTACTTCCAAAGAATAACTTAATTTGATAATAAAACAAATACTACTTTCCCATTTATTGATGAATCAAGCAAGGTAATTGGATTTATTACTTTTGAATCTATGAGTAATCCTGTTTCAAAATCACATGTGTGTTTCCTCCTCTGCTTTTATGTTTGTCAGGAGATGACAATTATTTATTCATTCTCTTTCTGGCAGAATTATTTTTTTTTTTTTTTTTAATCTGGACAACAAGAGTTTTATGCATAGTTTCTGAACTCAAAATAGAGCTAATTTATACTTAACACAATGTACATCCTTGATGGAGAAAAGTGAGTTTCAGTCATTCTGAGCAGCTAAAAATACTAGTTAATTAAAACAGATCTTGCATTAATACCTACAATATGCACATTAACTGGTGAATAGATATAACATTGTTATGATGCTGTTTTGTACTACTGAATGTCAGGGTCCTGGAAGCTGAGAGACCCTTTGGACATGTATCCTGGTACATGGTATGGTCTTTGGGCTGATATGTAGGAGATGCCTTTGATAGACATATACAGCTAAGCTGGGGAGTGGCCATGCTGAGTGTTATTGACAATTCTCCTTCCTCTGCTTTTTAGCTTTATCCTACAAATCCACCATGCTGAGTCTTTAGAAGATTATAGATTATTTTAGACATAACAAAATAATGGAAGATTTTTCAGCTAACTGAATAGTCAAGTATTGGTTTTTTTTAGTAGTTAATCTAGCAGCATTTAAGAATTTCTTTCACTTGAAGATCTCACATCAGTTCGCAAATATTAAGTAAACTTCTTAGAATCTGTACTTAAATTCTTAATTTGTTTTACAGGGATTGTTAAATCTACAATGGTCAACCAGTATAGCTATACCCATTCACACCAGCACGTTTCTGAAGTGGAAATGAAGCTTCCATAAGAAAAAATGTTCCTCTTTCATTAGAGAATAAAATCTGTTCTTTGAAGAACTAAGTCTCCATATTCTGGTTTAAAGTATGATTTCTTTTAATTCTCCTGTTCCACTCAGTAATGCTAGCAAAACTTTTAAGAGAAGATCAGATCATGAGTTGGAGGTGGTCAAGAAACTCATTCAAACTCAGATTATTTTCTTCTGTAAAGGACAAACAACCCATGTGCTTGAAATACATGACTATATTGATGGGATTCATTGATCAGCATAGGCCTTTGGTCCATTTGATAAAGATAGAAATCTGTTACATTCCCAGCTCCATCACCTTTACTCTCTGCCTAAGTGTTGTCCCCTTGCCTGATAAAGTGTTGTTTAAAAAGGGACTTCCAGAGCTGAACAAACCCACCTGCAGAGCTTGAATTGAAGAGCCAGCTTCTGTCATGTGGAACCACAACAAAATTGCATCTGCTGCAAAGCACACAGTTCTGTTAGCTATCATGGTTTTACTATGCATCTGATAATATTTAGACCTTTCTCCTGGTCATGTTCTTTAACAGTAGTAGGCAATGAAGGATAATGATTCACTTGGGAGTTTCCAGGGTTTCCAGGCTACCAAGCCCCACTGTGGTTTTCAGTTGAAACATTTCAATCCACCTTTTCCATTTTTCAATGTCATTTGAATCCATTGCTGCATTTATTTTTCTTTCAAATGAGAGCAGAATGTGGTGTTTGAACTGAAATACATTCTTGAGTGGAATAGAAGAAGGGGGAAGGATAGACATGTTATTTGTTAGCAAAAACATACTATGGGCTTTGTGGTACTGTGGCAAAGTTTGCTCCTGGTGAGTCTACTAAAAGACCCAAACCCCATATACCCATTTCCCTGATTCCTACCACATTTTTCTCTGTGCCTCCTTCTATGAGATGACAGAAAAAGCCAGATCTTTTGGACTAATGTAATATACTCTTTCCTCCTCAGTAGTTTCTGTCTCCCCTCATTGCTCCCAGAAAGGGAGGGACTATTAATGACTGTTTCAGGGCATTGGAGGGCTTTCTCACCTCACTTCCAATGCATTCCTTGCCTCCGGTCACCCAGGAAGAATCTGCTGTGTTTGATTTCTGTCTCAGGTCACTTGTCTCACAGCTACGTGCCAGGTCAGTGCCAGTGAGCAGTCCTGCATGGCAGAGCTTTGTTATACAGGCTGGTTGGTCAAGTTTCACACGCACAAAAGGAGTCGGTGTAAAGACAAAAAGAGACAGCATGTGTTTCAGTGCCAGTAATGAATAAACTACCACATCAACTGCACAGCATGAACATCTTTATCCAGCTGTGTTTATAAATTATTTTCATTAATTATGGTTGTTCCTATCACTTGACACAAACAAGGACTTTTTTTTTAAGTGGCCGTTTTATTAATCCATTATTCTTCTGAGGAATAATATCTGCCCGCCCCTCCCTGCCTTTAACTGGCCAGAGATACATCACTTTCAAAAATAAATCTCCAAATGCAGCCCTGCAAACTACTGCTCTTTGGTTCATCACTTATGAAAGAGGATACCTTTTTCTTCTGTCCACCATGAATTAAAATAAAATTGCTTATAATCTATCTTTGAAAACCCTGTGGTCAAATTTATGCCTGGCATCACAGAGCAGGAAACAGCATAATTGCACAGTGGATGAACTCAGTCTCAAGAGTTTAGTTGTGCTTTGAAAGCTTTTTGATGTATTGTTGTACTTTTATTTATATTAATTTTTTTTTTATTTTGTTTTGCTTTTTTTAATACTAAGGCTGTTTAGGAGCTGTGTTAGTAACCTGAGCTTTCTAATACTGACTCTAACCGGAGCAGAACCCTAATAAAGCTAAAGGCATTTTAGCCTTTGTTTCAAAGATTACAGTGCAAAACCA